TTAGATTGGTATGATTTATTGAATTGTTTGATTTTATTTATTCGATTGTGTGAAGCTTGATTGAGCAAATTTTATGGCAAGACGTTTCTTTTTTTTCGCAGCAGCTCGCAATCCGTTTTTTTCTAGCCCCACACTTTTTGAAGGTTTGAATGTTACCCGGCACAGAATCTGTGGGGTTGTTTTGACTAATGCTTGCTGGAATGGCTATCATAAACATTTTACTTATGGACCGTGTGTTGATTTTGATTCATTCAAGCAAGTAGGTCTCTCTGATGATTTTTCTGGATATATGTTCTCAAAAGACTTGCTCTTTAGTGTTGGAACGAAGTCATTCAGACTAGCTCAATTGGCCGCAGACTCTTCTGGAAAGGTTTACATCTTCAATGCCTGCATTTTCTCTAATGTAACAGATGTACTTACATGACAAAAGGGCCACCATAGTCAACGCCAGTTTGGAATTGGTCAGGTTAACTTACTAGAGTTAGCGATCAAACATAAGAGTAATAATTCATGTCATACTTAGGAGTAAAACCGCATATATTTAACTTAGAGTTAAAGACATAGTAAAAACAATTTCTTCCGTGCGTCACTTAAACTGTCAACAACAAGACAATCACCGCAAAGACAGTTTTCAATACTGAAACATTATAGATATTATCTCCAGCAGCTCCTTCGGCTGGAGGTACAATAGGACTAACTTCTGCAGGAGTACCAACCATTGTGGCTCCTGGAAGAGTAATTGTGAATTCTTCGGGTGGAATAATACCACTTACCACCGGGAAAACGGGATCGGTTTGAGTAAACGTTAGAAAACCAGTAAGCAAAAGCAAACTTGCATCTGGTGCAGAAACAGTACTATATCTAGTAACTTCACTACCATTTGGATCAAGCGTAACATAAGTAATCGTAAGTTGATCTCCAGGAGGTGCGACTATAAGCCCAGTAATTACGGTGGCAATGCCATCAATAGTGGTTGTAGCCACTGTTGTTATCGGTTGTGGTTCATTAACCTCGGGAGTAGCGTCAGAGGGTCTTAATAAGGTTATGGTAGTTACTTGTCCATTAATCGTATGAGTTATTTCTGAAGCGATTCCGTTCAATGTTTCAGTCAGAGTTCCTCTATGTATAACTTGAGTCAAGGTAGTAATAGTTCCATCGATAGTAAGGGTTACGCTAGTAAGCAAAATATCATCCTCATATACAACAGGTAATGTCATTGTAGTTAATGTTCCCAAGAAAGAAGTCGTCACCGTCCTGACCATGGCAGTTTGGGGCAAAGTAATCGTTGTCAATTTTCCATCTATAACAGTAGTAATTGTCGCTAATCCACTTGGTGTTGGTTGCGTGAGTGGTGGTAGTGGAGCAGGTGTAGCAGCTGTTGTAAGTGCAGGAGCTGTAGTAGGTTGAGTCGTTACTGTGATTGGAATCGTTTCCACCGTTGGAATAATACTAATAGTTTGGGTGGTGATTATAATGCCAGTTGTTACGGATACATCTGTAGTTAAAGTGATAGTTTCAGTTACAATAGTAGAAATCAAAGTCACCGTCTCAGTGGTGAATGTAAGAGTACCGGTTGTAACAGTAATGATTGACGTGATGGTGGTTTCGGTTGGATCAATTGTTACAGTTGTGATTGTAGTCAATGAAGTTTCAGTTGTCACAGTAGTGATCACGCTCTCTGTTGTTTCTGTGATTGTTGTTGGAACAGTGCTATCGGTTGTAGTGGTTTCCGGACTTGGAGTTGGGGTTGGAGTTGTTGGTGTTGTGGTTGTTGTTGTTGGTGTAGTTGTAGTTGTTGGTGTTGTTGTAGGTGTTGTAGGTGTTGTAGGTGTTGTTGTTGTAGGTGTTGTTGTAGGTGTTGTTGTAGGTGTTGTGGTTGTTGTTGTTGGTGTAGTTGTAGTTGTAGTTGTAGGTGTTGTTGGTGTTGTTGTTGGTGTAGTTGTAGTTGTAGGTGTTGTTGTTGGTGTAGTTGTTGGTGTAGTTGTTGGTGTTGTGGTTGTTGTTGTTGGTGTAGTTGTAGTTGTAGTTGTTGGTGTTGTTGTAGGTGTTGTAGGTGTTGTTGGTGTAGTTGTTGGTGTTGTTGTAGGTGTTGTTGTAGGTGTTGTTGGTGTTGTTGTTGGTGTAGTTGTTGGTGTTGTTGTAGGTGTTGTTGGTGTTGTTGGTGTTGTTGTTGGTGTTGTTGTAGGTGTTGTTGTAGGTGTTGTTGGTGTTGTTGTTGGAGTTGTTGGTGTTGTTGTTGTTGTTGTTGTTGTTGTTGTTGTTGGTGTTGTTGGTGTTGTTGGTGTAGTTGTTGGTGTTGTGGTTGTTGTTGTTGGTGTTGTTATAGGTGTTGTTGGTGTTGTTGTTGGTGTAGTTGTTGGTGTTGTGGTTGTTGTTGTTGTTGTAGGTGTTGTTGGAGTTGTTGGTGTTGTTGTAGGTGTTGTTGTTGTTGGTGTTGTGGGTGTTGTTGTTGGTGTAGTTGTAGTTGTTGGTGTTGTTGTAGGTGTTGGACTTGGTGTTGGACTTGGGCTTGGGCTTGGGCTTAGGCTTGGAGTAATAGTAACAGTTATAGTTGTCCAATGCCCATTAGTAGTAGTTATTGTAATTTCCTCTGTAGCTCCCAGGTCATTTGTTGTAGTTATGACAGTAGCTTCTGCTCCTGGAGCTTCGATAAAAGGTACTATACATTCGCAGGGGCAATCATTGCCGCTAACTTCAACTGAATAATAAATACGGACATTATTGTCACCACTTTTCGAAATCAGGAAATATTGTTCTTCGAATCCGGTACCAATATCAAAGGTAAAGTCAACTTCAGGTTCGGCATGTATTATTAGATATTGGTTATTGGAGTATTCTAAAGTAGCATTATCGGGATCTGAAGATCGAACTTCTATATAATTATTACGGGAACCAAATTCGGCCACTACGATTGGTTCCATGTCAGGAGTCACTAATGCAAGTATCGAATTAGTACCTGAAAAGCAAACAGTGGAGCCTAGGTGATTTTGAGGTACAAGAAATGAACGCTGGAGTCCAATGCACCCATTTCCATTGTCAGCTGGATTGATACCAAATTTTGCCTGAATGAGACAAATAGAACCATCATTGGTCATCTCATTCCATATTTGGACTTCTCCCCAGCTATAAACCGAACCTGGAGCCTGATAACCAACACTCCCTGTATTGATAAGAGTATCAATACTGACATAGTCAAAGCTTGCGGCCCAAACACTAAAGATGCCATCATTGTCAATTCTTCCAAAATAATATCCATTTCCATTACTTGCTCTGTAAGTATTTACGTGTAAATTTCCAGTATTTTCAATTTCGGCGATGTGGAAAGTAACTTGAAAAGGGTTAAATGTAACGTGGAAATAGAAGTCAGCTTCATTGATAAGAAGAACAACTCTTAAGTTGCTGATGTCAACAAGAGACCAAAAGCCGCTAGTAATCTCAACTTGATTCTCATCTACAACACCTCCTCGTTGAATCTGTTCGCCATCAATTTGCAACCCAAACACAAGGGTCCTCAAGCATGAAAATAATAATATGGAGTAGAAGTTGGCAATAATCATGGTTACTTTGACTGTTAAACCAGAATAAAAAGTAAAAGCGAATACTCTTTAAATTCTGAAAATCAGCCACATTTTATATCTTTTAAACTAATATATAACGAATACGATAAAGAATGACTTCATTCCAATTCAACATCTCCCCATGTTTGAATCTCTCTATTTCTTGCCTTAATTGCATTATCTATCCCCTGTAATCTGAATATGAAATGACCGCTTACTCCCTTTAATTTAAAATGAATATTTTTATTCTTATTTTTTTGCAATCTTTTTTTTTTTTTTGACAACGAAAATAATAAAATTTTATTTTTTAATCTTGATTTGTTTAAGCGCATAAAATTTCAAATGTTAGTTGGATTGGAAATGAACTTTTGTTTTAAATTGAATTCTGTCAATTCGTTTGATTGATTTGATGGATTGGTGAGACATCACTACTTCCCAGATGTCCCACTGCTCTTGCCTTTATCAATATTGCCCTACAGAAATGCAAGTGATATCTGGAGTACTGCACAGCCTATGACTTGGATTTAACATGTGCGATAATGGGAGTAATTTCTGAATTAACTAGATATTGAGTAATTTCTAGAGAATACAATTGATGCGGCATGTTGAAAGTTGATCTGTATAGAAAGAACTGTAAATTGCTCGGTGCCCGCCTGGTTAATTGGCTTCTTTTTTCTAAAAAGCTAGGGTATCTCATTTACTGACAGACAGCTCTCTCAACTTCTCAGGTAAACATAGACCGGAGATCTTCTCTCGAAGTCTCTAAAAGTATTTCAGGATTTCTTTCCATAGTGTTTGATAATTTTTTATAATAGAGAAAAAGCAATCAGAGTAATAATCAATTGAAAAGACAACAAGAGAACAAGTGTTGCTATATCTGATTATAACTTGGTAATCATTGTGATGCTTCTAATAGAATTTAACCACACCAGTCCCGAATTTATGTGTTACAACTTCTTTGGCAAAAACTTTTCAGCAGTTGTTCATTCATTTGCTTATATAAATCAAAGAATAAATATAAAGCTAATATTCCAGCCCAAAAAGTGAATAGTGATTATTGTAGTATCCACTAAGTTATCCTAATGTATATGCCTATATTTACTTATAAGCTACTGTGACATCCAGCCACATGAATTCTTCATAGCGTTAAACCTTCTACAAAGCTTATCACTTCGGCGGCCACATAAACAGACAAGAAGTGGTGGCGTGCATAGCTCGCATCAGAGTTCATACCAATGCTAGTCTCTATGAAAGTACACATGTGCGTTTTCTTATATATAATAATTAATTCTAGAACAAAAAAAGGAAAATCGATACAAACAATGGGTTAGTAGATCTACTCAAATACTTAAGAAACCGAAAACAGTCTTCAACATTGATCAGCTGGAACAACTTCCGAGTAGTCGCGGGGCGGATGACCATTATCTTTGTTAGAATAAACCAAGAGTGAAATACTGTTATAAATAACTAGAAAAATAATAAGTTAAAACTGAGCATATGTATTCAATTTGTAAATGAATATTTTTATTCTTTTAATATTATTATTATTTATAAATAATATTCCCTAACCATTCAATTAGCTCTAACCCCCGTTTCTGATTTTTGAATAATCAAGTAGAACCCATAGACCTTTTCTCTTTCTTTGTATTGCAATTGGTGATAGCAATTAAAGCCAAGAATATCTGCTGTGCATAAATAGAGAAACCATAACAAACTTGTTATCTCACTCTTCTTTTTTTTTACCTACCTCCCTCATCATTCTAAAAGGTGTTCATCCCTTGTGTTTTGGTAGAAAAATAAAATTGTGGAGAGGAATAGAAATTGGGTATATTTAAACGAAGAAAAAAAACTTATTTTTTGGAATTTTTTTCGCAACAATTCAAGCCTCATTAAACTAAAATAGAATTATTCTTCAATTTGGAACCCATTTTATTGAATGTGATTGTTTCGCAATCGCATAAACTAGGTCAACTTAGGAAGAAGAGGATTTTCAAATAACTATTCGAGGCTAGTGGATATCTTGATAGTGTTGTCATGCATACAATTGTAAAAATGTTAGATGTCTTCCCATTCTTCCCCTACGATAATTCACAGAATTTCAATAATGCCTTTCAATCTTATCTTCCTCATCGTAAGTATAAACAGATAATATTCTTTTGAAATAATCATTTCGTATGCTAATCAACTTTGCATGCCAATCTGGGAATATTTACCCTTACACGAACCTTGTAGTTGTTGATATCTCCTCTAGATATATGTACAACATTCTTTAATTAATATTAATTAATTAGTTACCAATTCTTGCAATTCCTGGTACCACACTGCCAAGTAGGGGGAGGGGTAACTTTCAATGGTTTCCGGTATAAGATCAAATAGCAAGGGGCTAATTCATATTGGATATTATATGCTTTTATATATCTATCTCAGATTCTCTAAAAGCATTGTTTAGCATATAATTGAATAATAATTTTGATTATAATTATTAAAAAATGTTTTATATGCAATAATCTAAAGTTACCGCAAAACCTAAAAATCTAAAAAATATTAAATATTTTTTCTTATAGGGGCACAATTAAAACATTAAAAAATAATAAATATAATGAAACTATAAGCGCAAAATTTCTATTACTGTTTTATAAATTAAATTATGCTTCTCAAAAAAATATATAACAATTGTGATGATAGTCGTTGAAACCAAAATCACCCCTATTTCACCAAAGGAAGAAAGCTAAACTTTAATGCTAATTGTGATTGTGGCGATTAACATTATGATCAGAAAACATATAATCAAAGACATCCACATATGACATTTCTTTGACCAGACACTTTTGGACAATTTAATTGCAAAAAAATAAACAACAAAATTTGAACAACTTAAACCTGAACAAAAAAGGAGAATAAGTATTGTAAGAGTACGCCAAGCATTCTCCAACTGGAACGCGAACAATGAATTGTCAAACAGTTGAAATCAGCAAATAATTTCCTTAAAAGTAAATTCAACTGAAGCAATAATCTAATTTTATCATCAGAAACGTCACGTGACCGTCCCATACATTAGCACGTGATCCTTATTTTCCCAGGCAGGACTGCGATTATTAGATTCGAAGGTAGCATATTTACGTCCGACAGCTGTTTATGAAGAGGATAGAATAATCCAGAGGGTCCACTTGAATGTAGGTACTTCGTCATGAATAACCTTGGGTTGTATTTGTAAGAATAATATCCAGTGGATTTGCTAATCCCACTAATTAATTAACAAAATTTACTCTCATAATAATAAACTAACAGCCATTAAAAAAAAAAAATCGGAATTTTCAGACGCGTTAATTAATTAGTGTTGCACATACTTCTTTCCAAAGTGTAGCAATATCAAAATGACTGAAATCAAGAGACCAACCATATCGATTATAGTTGCAGCTCTTAAGCCATCGCTTGGAATAGGCTATCAAGGTAAAATGCCTTGGAGACTTCGTAAAGAAATCAAATATTTTAAAGATGTTACCTGTAAAACCACCAATCCAAATCTTCGTAATGCAGTGGTTATGGGTAGAAAGACATGGGAGTCTATACCGAATAAATTTAGACCATTGCCTAATAGATTGAATGTCATATTGTCAAGATCTTTTAATAATGAGATTATTAATGAAAATTTAATTCATGCTAATAGTTTTGAAAATTCATTAAAATTGATTAAAGATGTTGAAAGGATATTTATAATGGGAGGTGGTGAATTATATAATGAATTAATTGGTAATGAATTGATTGATAATTTATTAATCACGGAAATTAATCATCTTAATTCCAATGAACAAATACCAATGGATACATTTTTAAAGTTTAATTTATATGGCAATGATTCTACTTGGTTAAAACAATCAAAAGATAAATTACAAGAATTTATTGGAATTGATATTGAACTTCCAGATGATGATATTGTAGAAGGTGACTTTAGTTATAATTATACATTATGGAGAAGAAGAAGAAGAGATTAATCATATAATCTTGGTTATTGATTATTATTATTTACAATTATAAATATATATTTACACAAAAGTATGTAATTCTCTACTACTTCTTATCAATAGATGGATCAAATACTTTCATTCTTGTAGTTACTCTTTCATCACCTTGTAATTCTTGAATCCATTCAGAATTACGTTCTTTCCCTTTAGCAACCCATTTCTTTGGCCAATCAAATTCTTCTTCTTTAGCCATTAAAATATCCTTATATTCAAACGGTCTAGTTTTCTTAAGAACTATTCCCATTGTTCTTTCACCGTAATCATCAGCTAAATATCTTCTAGTGAAATATCTATAAATCTTACGTGGAATATTTGAAAATCCCATTAAATTGTATACTGGAAATACATAAACTGGTTGTTCAAAAAATAAAGGTACACCATTCTTGTCTTTTAATACTCCTGACAAATCTAATTCAGGAGCTAATTGACCTTCAGTTTCATAATCAGCAGTATTAATATATTTCAATGGAACTGGATTCAAGTTTTTATTACCTTCTTCATCTTCATCATCATCTTCAATTGATTTACCTTCCTTTTCTTTCTCTTCTCTTTCCTTTTGTTTTTCAGCAGCTATTGCTTCTTCTGCTTCAATTACTTTGGGAGGTTTATCTAATGGTCCTAATAAACCTTCATGAATACCAGTAATAAATTCTTTATATGCACCTCTACCAATACAAATGATACCACCACCAGCGACTTCATCTTGTGAATCTTCTGGTGTTATTTCTATTTCACTAGGGAAGATTTTATATAAACCCATTACATCCTTTGCTTTGTATAGATCTGAACGCGGTTTGACTTCTTCAGGTTGCAAATCTCCTTGAGATTGTTGTTGTTCTTCCGTTTGTTCGCTCTTGCCATACGATGGAATGCTCTTAGTGACGAAATTCGGAACTGCACTCTTCCAAGAAGATGATGAGGCAGCTTCTTGTATTGGTTCTGATTCTTGTTGTTGAACTTGCTTTCCCTTGGATTTTTCTAATTCAGCTCTTCTTAAATCTCTAATCTTTTGAGCAACAGATGCTCTAATATCACCTTGTCTACTTTCACTAAATATTTCAAAATCAATAGCACTAGCATTTAAAATTGGTTTAATAAATTTTCTAAATACAATCAATGATTCTTCAAGAAAATCATTTGGTGGAGGTGCAATATAAATGGTTAATTTTCTTGGTAATTGATTAGTAGTATACGTAACTTCACTTAATTCACTCACAGAATTCATCCATTTCTTTCTAATTTGTTTCTGTTGATATTTATCATATGCAATTCCACCTCCAATCAGAGCTAATACTGTCCAGAATATCATCCAATTTCTTGATGGTAATGAAATTCTTGGAATACCCATCATTCTAAGTGCAGGATTTGAATAACCTTTCTTAACTGGAGGAGTTGGTTTGGCAGTGGAAGTAGAACCAGTAGTGGTAGGAGCCGTCTTTGGCCCTCCTTCTCCTGTTTCTGACATACTTTTGTGGGTGGTTAAAGGTACTTTTTCAGACTATTCAATAATCACTGAAAAATTCTCATCAACTTAACTGACTGACCGAACAAAGTAAGGGCCCCCAGGGGGAAGAAGTGTGGAAGCAAAAAAAAAAAAAAGAGAAGGGTCGTGTAAGTTAACCAAATTAATTAGCCATAACTTTTGCAACCACAGCGTCTATTGCTACCTATTTATAAAGAAGAATATGAAGAAGTAGCATCCAATAATAGCATTGATTCCTATGAAAGTAGTTAGGTTAAGTAATTATTTAATTCAATTAGTAAATCATCATCATTTAAATCTTTACCAATTATAACCAATTTATTTTCATTAATATCATCTAATAATTGACCACCTTCAATTATTTCATAAGTATCTCTAACCCCTTGTACCACTCTAACATCAGTAGTACCATCTTTCAATACTAATAATCCTTTAATACGATGTATTTCAACTGGTTTATTATTAATCTTATTTTCCCATAATATATATTGTAAAAACATTTCAAATTTATTAAAATCTTCCCTGTTATTAAAGAATGGGAAATCAATACAAATAGTACCAATTCTATCATCATGGAAAGTATGTTTATGTTTTATATGAATTGATTCTAAGAATTTAGAATCATTAGCTTCAAATGCATGTAAGTCTAATATCTTACTTAAATCAATATCACCAAAACTTGTTGTATAAATTGGTGATGTTTCATTGATTCTTCTTATTCTTTCAATTATATCTTGTACTTCATCCCCTGACTCTATTTTATCTATTTTATTTAATAGAATTGTATCAGCTAATGCTAATTGTAAATGGGCGGTAGTTATACCTTCTTGTAAATGTTTTTGTTCCATTTCAATCTCTTCCGGGGTTAATTCACCTTCTGGTTGTTGTTGTTGTTGTTGAGATGCAAGCAATTTCTGTTGTTTATGCCAATGCCCTCCAATATCATCTAAACATTTAACAATATGTTCAGAATCAACCACAGTTATAACTCCATCAATATAAATATTTGAAGCTAATCCTTCATCTAACCAAAACATTTTAGCAATTGGTGCAGGATCAGCAATACCAGTAGTTTCTAATAAGATATAATCAATCTTATCTTTGGAATTCTCAATTAAATTTTCAATTGCTAATACTCCATTATCTTTTACAGTACAACAAAGACATCCATTACCAATATCTAACCATTCAGTAACACTTTCATTTGTATCTTGAATTGTAACTGATTTTTCAATTATTGAAGAATCTCCAAATTCATTTAAGATAATTGCTAATCTTTTATTTGATGTTTTACCAATTCTATCAAGTAATGTTGACTTACCTGATCCTAAATATCCGGTTATAATTGTAATTGGGATCTTTTTAGATAATGTGGTTGGAGTCAGTGAATAAGGCTTGCTAGTAGTAGTTGTTATTGGTATCTTCTCTAGTTGAAGGGTATCTTCAAGTTCTGTTACTAATTGAGGTATTTCATCCATTTCTTGTCTTGTCTTGTGTGTTTTGGTTGTTAATTAAAGGAAAGAAGTGATGATGCAATAGAATATTCTTTTTTAATGCAGGGCATTTTTTTCAATACATAAATTCTCAACCTTATAAAATAATTACTCGACAATCTTCTAGTTCTTCTTTATTCCAGTAAAGATGAATTATCAAAAGATAATTGATGGTTGTTTGCTATTATTAATATCATATCATTTAATGATATCTCCTTATACAAAAGTAGAAGAATCATTTAATTTACAAGCAATTCATGATATTTTAAATTATGGAATTTATCCTCAACAATTAATCATTGAAAATTATGATCATATTAAATTCCCAGGGGTTGTACCAAGAACTTTTATTGGTAGTTTAATTATAGCAGGATTATCACAATTAGTTATCAAGGTTGATAAATTCTTAACCATTGATTTATTGTCATCGGTTGGTAAAGATCAATTGGAATTACAGACAATTGTTAGATCAATAATTGGACTTGTTAATATATTCATGTTATTAAAACTTCGAGATTCAATTAATAAAATAAGTTTTAAATACAAAAACAAGAAATCTAAATATTCAATTGGATTTTGGTATACAATCTTATTAATGTCTCAATTTCATTTATTATATTATTCTTCAAGAACATTACCAAATTTCATCGTATTACCATTGGTTAATTATTCAATTTCAAAATTAATTGTTGGTGATTTATCAGGTTTAACTTGGTTAGCATTCTGTGGGATTATATTCCGATTAGAAATTGGTTTATTTGCCGTCATAATTGCTTTGGTCTCTTCTATTATATTTGGACAATCAAATATATTCATTAATATTGTATATCTTGCTGCTGGTAGTTTGATTGGTGGATTAACTTCAATTTGTATTGATTCATATTTTTGGAATAGACTCTTGATTCCTGAATTAGATTCATTTATTTTTAATATTATAGAAGGGAAATCAAGTCAATGGGGAGTTGAACCTTGGCCAGCATATTTTAGACATTATTTATGGCAATTGTTTAGACCTCCAATTATTTTGTTATTGGCATTACCTGGTTTAATTAATGATCCAGCTGATAATGGCACAACTACACCTACAAAGACCAAGACAATCTTAAATCATCCAGCAAGAAATTCTTTACGAATTCTTTTCATTTCTTCATTATTATACATTATTGCAATGTCATTCCAACCTCATAAAGAATGGAGATTTATAATTTATACAATTCCAATATTCACATTACAAGCTGCAAATGGATTAACTAATATCTTCCATAAAACAACTAACTTAATGAATAAATTATTATTCTTAATTATTATGGCTGGAATTCTATTATCAACAATCTTATCTATTCAAATGGGATATGTTTCAAGTTTTAATTATCCTGGAGGAAATGCCCTTCAATTCACCAATAATTATATCACCCAAAATCCATCCAATTCCGACACTGTTATTATTCATATGGATGTTCCAGCTTGTATGACTGGTGTAAGTAGATTTGGAGAAATTCATAACAATCCTAATATCAAATATGATAAAACTGAGGATCAAACTCAATTAGAATCATTGTGGAATCAATTTGATTTCATTATTACCCATGATGAAAAGCTTGATCCAAAGTCTTGGGAATTGATATATACTGAACCAATATTTAAAGGAATTACAATTGAACCAATTGTAGAATTATTAATTGCTCAAAGTAAAGATAGGTCAATCATCATTAATCTTATCAAGAATATCATAGATGAATTAGTAAAGGGTGAATCAAATACTTTGATTAACTTGTTAAGATCAACTATTTTGACTGAAGATTATTTAAATGTTTATAAAGCATTAACTCCTCATGAATCGACAATGCATATCACTCCTGAATCAACAGCAAGTGAACCACAAGATATTGATCCAGAATCCCTTAAGAAAGAAATCAATCAACAGATCGATAATTTAGAAGAATCCTTTTCAGCAATGGGACAATGACCGTCTCACTGAACGAGCCATTGAATGAACCACGAACGGAATTAGTCCGCGAAAGAATAAATAAATGGGTGAAAGACATGGATGCGCAAACGATGTAGTATGGAGCATGGAGAAGATGATGACATGATGACCAAACCTACGAATTTATAGAGCTTTAATCATATTTTCATTTGTAAACTTCCTTTTGTAAACTTCTTTTTGTACACACGCCAACCACAAGTAATTATGCATCCAATGAATCTAGTCTCCCTTGTCTAGATCTAGTAGAAGCGTGGAATTAGGTGTAAATTAGATTTTCCAATCCCAAATACGTAGAACCACAAATAAAATCCCAATCAAATAGTGATCAATTGTAGAAAGTATACTTGGAATACAGCCCATAGTACATTTACATTCTTAAAATGAAGATACTGAACAATATATGAAATTCAAAAGTTCACATTGAGGTATTTTGGAAATGCTAGAATTCTTTTGTGGTTACTAGGTTTGATAGAAATTTACAAACCCCTCTTTTCAAATACGCCTTAGTTTTGTTTTGTGTTTCAACTAGTTTGTGGTTATGCAATTGTTATAGTATACAAAAAATCATGCAGATTTTGGTTGCAAATTTTTTGTGGTTGCAAAAAAATCTCAAGTATAAATAGACCTGGAAATCCCCTAGAATTCAAATTTTTTTGTTTTCTTCTTTTCCCTTTTTCTTCTTCTTTTCTTTTCTTTTCTTCTTTCATTAATTATCTCTTTCCAGATTATCTCATCTTTCTTTCAATCATTTCATTATTCATTCTTCATCCACTTCTTGTGTCATCTAGATATTCATTATTCAATCAATCATTTCTTTAGAAATTCATCCACTGCTTGTGTCATCCAAATATTCACTGATCTAACACCTTTGCCTTATCGTCATTTGTGAATTAGTTGTTCATATATTTATTCATCTACATCTTGTGAATCAGTTGTTCATACTAATATCCATCTACATCTTATGTCAGTTAAATGTTTTTTTGATCTACCATCTTTACTTCATATTCATTTATTAATTGGTTGTTCATACTATTATCCATCTACATCTTATGTCATCTAAACGTTCTTTTGATCTACCACCTTTATATTCATCTATTCATTGGTTGTTCATACTATT